GTAATCTCGAGCTAACTCATACCGAAGTGTGGAGTGTGTTGATAAAACACAAGAGTTCTTCTTTCCTCCAGTCAGATAAGCAGCGGTCGATGATCCAAGAAAAGAAAGACGCCTCTTCGTTTATAAAACAACACGCTCCACTGACTCACTGATAATACTTTGACAATGAGCTCCTTTTTTATTTTTATTCTTCTTACAATTTTAGCTCGGCACTGAGACATAAACGGCAAATTTGCGTTTTATTTTTCACACGCCGATCTTGCGTCTGGATCAACGCAGACATTCCCTCAGAGGATTTCCGGAAGTTCTTTGAAAGCAAGCACACCTTTTAGGGTTGAGAGCTACTTCAAGGAGCTGCTCGCCGACGTCTCAGCTTCTATTCATGCGGGACAAAGCCCAGGTCTGTCAAACAGAAAGCAGCCGAGACGGGACTATCGGAGGGGGGGAGGAGGTGCAGGAGACGGCTGCTGTGGATAAGGAGAGAGATCCTTCCGGTCGCTGATAGTGGTGGTGCCAACAGCAGCACCAAAGACAGCAAGACTGGAGGTCAACCTGCTTTATCACTTCGTCTTTGAGTCGGGCTTTGTCCTCCTCTGCCTCACTTCAGCTCTGTGCGCTTTTAGCTGTTTTCCAGTCAAGCATGTGTCTTTCTCTTCCCTCCCCTTGTCTGCCTCTTCCTGTATCTTGTAATTAGACTTTAGCTGTTAAAGACGTCCATGTCTCCTTATGTGACGAGGAGGCCAGAATTTTCAGATTTTGTGCAGGCTGTAATTTAATTTAAGCCATAAAAAAATATTAATAACTAGAAAAATGGCATTTTATGTGAAAGTGCAGAATGAAAGAAAACTGAAACTATGTTGTGAAAGGTAAAAGAAGCAAAAACACTTGCTAAAAGCCCAAAGTTGCAAAATGCTAGCTAAACACTAAACGTATAAACTGTAGTTATAAGTTAAATAAGTAAAAGGGTTAATGGCTGGCAAAACACTAAACGTAGCACAACAGAAGCTAGAAGCTAAATGTAGTAAAAGGATTCCCAAGTATAGTAAAAGGCTATCTCAAAGCTAAAGTAGTGAAGAGATTTCGAAACATTTAAAGAAGCAAAAGGCTAGCCAAAAGCTAAGATTAGTAGACGGGTAACTCAAAGTAGCTAAAAGGTAGCTTAATGCTAAAAGTAGTGAAACAGAAGCTTGAAGCTAAATGTAGTAAAAGGTTGGCTAAACAGTAAAAGTAGCAGTAACTAGAAGCTAAATGTAGCAAAAGGGAAGCTAAATGTAGTAAAAAGCTATCTTAAAGCTAAAGTAGTAAAACGGTTTATAAAAGTTAAAAAAGCAAAGGGCTAGCCAAAAGCTAAAAGTAGCAGAATGATAGCTAAAAGTGGCATTAAAAACAAATAAAGTAATAAATAATAATAAATCTTAATAAATAAATAATGAGTAATAAATCTTATGTATTTCTATGGGGATATTTGTATTAAAGTATAGGCCTACTAATTAAATGGTAAATGTAGCAAAAATGTTGCTTAAATGTAAAAATAGCATATGGCTAGCTAAAAAATGTGACGAACACTATAGAAAAGCAAAACGTAGCAAAAGTCTAAAGTAGCAATAAGCTTAGCCAAATGCTAAAGTAGCAATAGGCTAGCAAACGGCTAAAGGAAAAGCTTCCAAAATGATTTTTAGAAGCTAAAGTATCAAAATTGTGGCTAAGAGCTAAATGTAGCGCAAGGCTAGCTCGAAGATAAAAGTAACAATGCAGTAAAATTAAGTTAAAAGTAGTAAAATGCCAGCTAGAAGTTAAAATGTCAAAAGTATGACTTAAAGCTAAAACAGATTGATAGCTAAAAGCTAAATGAAGCAAAAGCAGATTTATAAGGAACACTGTTTGGGATTTCTTCAATAACTTCCCAAACAGTGGCAAATATAAGTTAGTACAAAAATCCATTTAGGTTCATAGACTTGAAAGCTACATTTCTGTTAATTGTAGGTTTTGTCAATTTTTATTTATATTCATTTTTATGTTGTGACATACAATTTTTGTGTTAACTAACGCGTGTTCTTAGTTTTAAAAGTCTTGGTTGTTCGTTAGCCTGAGTCGCTCCACAAGATTAGGTGAGAAAACACGAGAACCTTTGAAACGTCAAATGTTTTAAAGAAGAATTGTTGAATTGGATGAAATATTTAATGATGTGGAAAAAGAATTCCAGCCCAGCGAGCGGCAGAGATCCATATTTGGTTTGAATGCACATGCTTAACATACATGTTCCATGCTTGGATCATGTTGGGGTGAAAAAGGCAAGCTGTCAAAGTATAAATAGAATCAACGGGGTGAATAGTGGAACAGAAAAACCAGAAAGAAAACATGCCAATGTGGGGTTGTAGCGAAACATGTTGGACACATGTGCTCCCAATAAGTGTGGTCAGAAAGAATCGGTGACGTGGAAAAACGTGGATTCTGGACGGGAACTGAACTTTTAAAAGTTGGACAAATTGCAGGTGGGGCTCTTTAGAAATGAGGATAAACGTCATAATGTTTGACAAACACATTAACAGGGAAAGTCGAGAGTTTTCTTCTGAGCTTTTTTTCCAATCTGTGTTACTGCAAACATGTACGTAATCTTCAAATATATGTACAACCTATAAGCATGTTGCCTCCAGATACCTCCAAAAACCAGTTCTGATGTGTTTGGAACCATTAAAGTTGAACAATTTGAACTCCTTTAGCATTCCGTCAATTTTAGTACCACCGCATGATGGTACCTCCACCATGCCTGGCAGTTAATCCAGTGTTCTTAGGTTTGAAAGCCTCACCTTGACTTAATCTATGTCTCGTCTGACCATCAAGCTTTTCTCCAGGGGGAATTTTTGGCGGCTGCAGATTTCACTCCCAACTTGAAGGAGTTTCAGGAGCTCTTTTCTTGGTCCTCTTAGTCCACGGTGGTGCAAAACTGGCCTCACTGAGGACAGGGACACTGGTGTCCCAGCAGTTTCCAGTGCAGATTTGAGTCTTGCTGGTTTCTGAACATCCACACCAGTTTTCTTCCAGATGAGGGTGACAGATGAGTTTTGGTCTGTCCATTGAATGTTGTCCAACAAATCTTTTTGAGGCTGTCAAAGTTTGTCAAAGCAAGATCACAAACCAGAACTTAATGGATCTGGTCAAGTTGAGACCAGATCCATCGGCACCACTTGTTAGAAGATAAGCTGCAGGTGCAGGTATGTGGAAAAAGAACAGTTTAACCCTTGTATCGTCTTCCTTCCTTCCTTCCTTCCTTCCTTCCTTCCTTCCTTCCTTCCTTCCTTCCTTCCTTCCTTCCTTCCTTCCTTCCTTCCTTCCTTCCTTCCTTCCTTCCTTCCTTCCTTCCTTCCTTCCTTCCTTCCTTCCTTCCTTCCTTCCTTCCTTCCTTCCTTCCTTCCTTCCTTCCTTCCTTCCTTCCTTCCTTCCTTCCTTCCTTCCTTCCTTCCTTCCTTCCT